ACCGACATGTGGCGCAGCTTCCCCGTACAGCGCGTACCGTCTAGAGCCGTCTCAGTCACCAGAAGAAGCGAAGCTACGCTGCATCCGCCATTCCGCCAGTTCTATGGAGAACCAAACCTCTCAACGGCGAACGTGTCTAGATACCGCGCTCTAGAAGATGAACTGTTACAAAGGGGCGGCAGTGCAAAGGTGTTCTGTACCATGCACGCAGTGGTTCATCGTCACCGCGGCGTTGTTAACATCAGCGGCAGCAGGTAAGCGTTTTGCGGTCAAGTCATCCGCAGCCAACGTTAAGCGCGGCTTGTTCCCGCTTCTATGCGATTCACCCGTCCTCTTTTACAGAGCCGCCAAAAGTGATCCCATTTGCCTTCGACAAGACACTTTCCGAAGGACAGAACACAGTAGTGACTTGCACTATCAGAGAAGGTTCAAAGCCCGTGCAGCTTCAGTGGCTCAAAGATGGGCACGAAGTCGTCGGTGGTGGTGTTGTGAAACTCATCAAACACGAAACGATTCTGGTGCTCTCCATCGAGCCAGTCAAAGTTGCGCATTCCGGAAACTACACCTGCGTGGCTCGGAACAAATATGGATACGACCGATACACGTCGGCGCTGCGAGTGAATGGTAAAAAAACTTTTTTTTCTCTCTATTTGCCTTGAAAAAGCAGCAACCCTATGATAAAAAGATGCGAATATTCTGCCATATTCTGCCATACTATTCTGCATATTCTGCCATATTAGTCTCACATAAACAAGAATCATATGGGCTCGCGTAGTCGCTATGATTAATATGATTGCATCAAACTGATTGTCAGGCATGTTTTACTTCTTTTTTTCTTCAAATATACAAAAGGGGGCGATAGACAGGTTTAAATATTGAGTAGGACGTTCACACTTTAAAAATTTGAAATCGAATATATGTATAAAGCAAATAATTAAGCAAGTCTAAATTATTGCGGCAGTGTGCACTATCTTCTTAATTGGATCTGCATCCTGACAGCTCAATACCAATTTTCTGCCATCTAATTTTCAGAAGTAATAACCTGCACAGTAATTGTGCCCGTACACCGTGGGACCACCAAACGCACGCAGCATTATGTTAGCGTTAGGTCAGAATATGTCTCTACACATAATTTACCCACTGTCGTCGAATTCTCCGTATCAAAGCATAAATGATCAATGAAACGGCTTAATACACATCTATCCATTCTTCCTCGCACTCGTAGAAGAATGGATGAATGTAACCTGATGATTCATGAGGCCCGTACCTAATGCGGCCCGTCTATCAGGCTAGGTAGTTTCTGCATATACCAAATTAGGCTTTCTCGCGAATAGGTGACAATAGGCCCCTGCCACAGGCTGACACTCAGTCACTTTTCTAAAGGTTTTTTTTTTTTCATATTTAATGCAACATGTATTGCTTTGCGCTACGTCTGGTGTTTTTGTGAACCGTGAAAAGAACAATTAAGGTCATGTTAGTTATAAGAAATTTCCTGTCTTTCCTAAAGCGCCACCCAAATGGGAGGTGGAACCTCAGGATGTTGTCCTCAAACGAGCAGAGACTGCGGAGCTTCAATGCAAGACCGTGGGATACCCACTACCTGACGTCAGGTGGCTGAAAGAAGGTACGTACAGAAGGGTTTAAAGTTATTGTGGAATGAGTGACAGAGTGTTAGTCCAATCAGCTAATTCCAAAGTCAGCGTCTAAAATGACCACTGTATATCACCAAAAAGCACGAGTGAAATCGATGCACTGCAGTAGACGCACGGACAGGGAAAGCGAGGGCAGGGGGGTCAAAAGTTGCCAAGCCACGCTACCATACGAAACGTGCGATAGTGGCCTCGGAACTTTTGACTCCTTCATGTGTAGCCTACATACTTGCGTCAACGTGTTCACCTGTGGATGATACACTGAATTTTAGGAATATCATGTGAATTTGGTGTTTTGTAGACACATTCGTTTTTTATAACAAGAGACTTGCTTCTTGCACAAGTATAATTCCGAAACCTCGACAAATATCACCTGCTGGCAGGAAGAGACTGGACTAACACCGTTTATTTAACGGCAGCAGCGGAGGAGCACAACTCATGGTTTTTTTAGACGCGCATTCCTGCGAGAAGCGCGCAGCTGACTCATTGGACAGGAACACCCCACATTCGGGCACTAGCTTTGCATTAACATCATAAATTCGCTTTGTTTACGTACACATCAATGTATTAGCAAGAGGTTACTGCGCCTACTTGTACCATAGCGGCGTTGTTAGCGCGCTTTTAACATTGTGGGCTAAAAGACCCACTAAGCAAGCAACAAATGTCAACAACCTCACTTGCCGTGTCTTGGTATCTCCAAACGCTCACAGGTGCAGAGTTGAAGAGTCCTTCAGAGAATAGGATGCAAGTCCTACAGAACGGAACACTGATCATCCGGAACGCGACGAGCGAAGACCGAGGCAAATACTCTTGCCTGGCATCCAACGGAATCGGCGCTGCCTTGACGAAAACTGTGTCCGTGCTCGTCAAGAGTAAGCCGGCATTCGCATCGTATGCAACCGCTCCCGCCACGAATCACCAAATACAACGCGAACAACAAACAGCATCACCGTGCTTTCTGGGCCTTTATTAAGCTTCAAGCATCCAATTTTAGCGCATTTTCGCGGCACCCACCTGCAAACATTCGTTACAGATTGTCAGCCAACTTAGGCCTGCTTCCGCGACGCGGCGCCACGATCCTGTGTCCTGCTACAAGCTATGGGACCGGCAGCACTAAAACGCTTCCCAGGGTTCTCGCGTAACGCCGAGATGCGCGCATGGCGAACGGGTGGAGACACGGGAGGAGTATAGAAGACCCCTTCCTTCATGTGCCGTGTAGGGCTTTTGTTTTTGCGCCCCGTTTGCGATGCCGCTACTCGCGCAAGCATGAAAAACGGGTCTGCCCGTGACGGATCGCACGGTTTCGCGACGATCTCAAAAATTACGCAGAACGCGTGAGTACATTTCGTCGGCCGCAACGATGTTCCTGCAACTGCCCCTTCTAGGCCTCTGGACCATCCTGGCGTCGACGGCCACTGCCAGAAAAGAAGGCAAGTGCCTTACTTTTGTAGATTCTTTTGTACGCGCTGATACACTGCGCTGAAAATTCCTACACACGGAGGTTTCACACGCCAGCGATGCTTTCAAGATATATCTCACTACTTTCCTATTCAACCTGAGGCGAAAGCGTCAACAATAGGCAGCAAACATTTGCGATTTCGTCATTACACTCACGGAGTAGACAACACGCGCAGTCATCCTCTTATTAAAATAAAAAAGCAGCATATTTCGTGTTCTTCAAATACGAACTTGTGAAATATTATATCTAATTCGAGGGGAAACAGATGGAGCAGCGAATAACTCATTTTAATTTGATGCCTATACAACTGTCACCAAGAAGGCGCAATTGCGGCGTGCTGAATGCACTGTGATAACTAAATGTGCTCGCTCTTGCAGAAGCATTCTAAACTGGAGCTCTTTCACAGATGGCCCAAAGATCCAGCCATTCCAACTACCTGCGCGTGTGCAAGCAGGAGACAAAGTGAGCGCTGCGTGCAACCTCGCATCAGGAACACCACCTGTGACATTTTCATGGCACAAGGACGGCAGTGACGTCACGAATCTCTCCAAGGATATCAGCTACGGAAGCAATATTATGTCTGTCCTAGCTATCCCTTCGGCGTCGCTGGATTCGCAGGGAAATTACACCTGCAGGGCAACGAACGCCTACGGCAGTGACTCGCACACGGTGCAACTCAAGGTGGAAGGCAAGTGGACCACAACTCATCTACGTATTACGCTCTGCCTATAACACTTCCAACGTTTATTAAATCAAAAATGTTACAAAGTATGATGATACACCCTCGCACCGAATCTTAATTCAGCCCATTTATGGTTACCCATACTGCCAAATCATTGTCTATTCATTATATTGCTGAGCTGAGAACACAAGGCATCCTGAAAACTCAGTGCCCAAGACAGCATGCGGCCTCAGACCTGCTTTGGAAAGTCAACTGCGCTCTTTAATACATGTCATCTTGTGTCATTGGCCCTTTCCGGTATCATTGGACCATCCTAGACAGAAGCAGCCAACAATGTGGGCAGAAAAACTTCCGCCTTCTTAGCTAGATCGGCAGAGCATCAGACGCGCAATTCGAAGGTTGTGGGTTCCGCCCACACAATGTGTTTTTTCGTTCATTTTAATTTATCTCTATTTTGTCAATATTACTATAATATACAGTCAAAAGACATAAATTGCATCCCGCATAATTTTCCTGGCTTAACTGTTTGTTGGATTTCATTAGGTTCAGTCTAACAAAAAAATAAGCACTCGAAACATTCCTCGTTGATTGTTTCATTGGCAGTGCCACCAGTTTGGACTGTTGAACCTGGCGATGCATTCGGCACGATCGGAGGAATGCTGAATCTGACATGTCTCGCTTCCGGATCACCAGAACCAACCATCACGTGGACGAAGATGGCGGGTCAGCACCTTTCTCTTCCCTCAAGCACAATGCTACCATCGCTAAATCGTATACTGCTTCTCACGAAAACTTTCCATTCCAGAACAAACCTCGCCGCAAACGTGGAAGCATCCCGTCATATCTTTCTTTCCGCTCACGGAGGCTCACCGGGGAAAATACATGTGCGATGTCAGTAACGACATCGGCGGGCGACTTACCAAAACGATTTCCGTATTCGTCCGAGGTAAGCGATCACTTCGCGAAAACAAATAACCCGCTGCCTCTTTTTCACAAACAGAAAGGAACCACACAGCAGAGACCCCACAACTCCGTCAACTGGCGCCACACTTTTCCAATTATACACCGGCTGAGTCGGGCCTAGTGTGCCAAAAGGGTCCTGACGGTTTAAATAACTTCACAGACAACAAACGACAGTCAGAGCCTCAGTGACGCTGTGATCCGCCATGTGGCGCCAAAAGTCCGTGCGGCGGGCTTTAACAACCCCAAAGCCACGAAGAGATGTCAGCGTTCGTGTGCCGACTTGCCCGAAGAAAACGCGTACCGAGCTCGGATTAACGGCGGATTAGCCACCGTCTCGCGTCGCGCCTGAGCTGTACAAATGCGTGTACCCGTGCGGTGAAGCAAACGCACAGGCGAAGCCGTCGTGATGCGACCACAACGCTCGATGATTCCGTGCTGCGCGATGCGAACGGTGTTCATCCTCACTTGGATGCTTTCGGCGCAATGTGGAGCTACGTCGCATCAGGGTAAGCGTCAGTCTATTTTACCTTCCGCATGCTTTAATTCATCAGTGCATCGGTGTAGTTTACCTGAACATGCAGTCTATCAAACGAATGCTATAGATCCACAGTCGCACTCAACGCGAGTTTTAACACGGTGGCCGTGGTTGAAGGGGCCCCAAGCCTACACTGCAACACCGGTAAACGTGAAATGGGCTTTGCAACCACCGTTAGTTAAAAAAAGTGTATACGAGACTGACTGTCTTCTATGTTGGCGCCACTTTGACCACGGGCAGCCTGTTGCAACGAATATTGGGCGCGACAGTACACAAGATAGACCGTAAACTGAATAAAGTAACTACTAAGCACGTTTCACCGTATCGGTACATTTACCTCTGTTACGGCTGCTCCAAGTTTACGATACTATATCTGGTTAATCGCTGACAAGCATTCGTTTGTTCCAGATGCACCAGTGATTCAGCCGTTAGTGCTTCCGTCCGACGTTGTGACGGGAGTGAACACCAGGCTCTTGTGCAACGTGCAAAAAGGAACACGGCCTCTAACGTTCGCATGGATCAAAGACGGCGCCTCGGTCAGCGACGGTGTGTCGTCGCAGGACGATTTCTCGCTGCTCAGCATAGACCCGGTGACGGCGGAAAGCGCCGGAAATTACACCTGCGTCGTGAGCAACGCAGCGGGCACTGACCGATACACGTCGACGCTGGAAGTGAAGCGTGAGTGGAACTCTGAAAGTTACGAAAGAGCGACACTGCAAGCTGAAAACAAGAGTGTATGATGCCAAAAGGATGTTCTGAGCGTTACACTCGTGAAAAACAAGTCTTGCTTATATCGCAGCACAATCCTTTAGGCTAAGATGCACTTTATATTGGCTCGGCTTATAAATATAAAATACGTCTCATGAACAAAACAAAATTTAATACAATTTCAAACTAACAAATATTGGACGAACAAAACAAATTCCGTGTTTCTATACGTTGAAGCGAAGAGAATATTACGATGCACGCCGTAATGAAATACTCTGATGTAACTGCGACCGCTTGAGGTTCTTTGACGTTCGCCTACACCGTTTCCCTTTTAATTGAATTTTTCTGAGAATGTGGAGAGGGGGGGGGGTCTTTTAAAGCAGCCGCAGTGGCCGGAAATTCAACCTGTTATTTCGTTCTTAAACATAACACAACAATCGCCAAATCACAACTGCAGGTCTCACTAAGTTGGTCTTATTTTAAGGCGGCCAAGAAAGATACACGTATTCGTGACAAAGTCCGACATTCATTTAGCCCATACAGTTCACGAAGTGGCTCGTCCACCAGCATATCGGTCAGTGTACAGGTCAAGCGAAATTACTTTCATGCCATTGTGCTGGTTCGGTAAGCGTAAGAAAAGCAGGCCTTGCACTTCGCGATTCTCGCAGTTTAAGGTAATCTTTTTTTTTCTTAGTCCCTTTATTTGTATGTGTGCACAACAGAGCCGTCTCAATGGACTGAAGAACCCAGGGATGTTTCTGTTGCCGAAGGCTCCGAGGTTCGGCTCACATGCGCGGCCACAGGACGACCCAAGCCCACCGTTACATGGAGCCGGTGTGTCTCTGGAGGTGAGGGAATGCAGGAATCAAAATTCCATTCCAGTTGATCTCCTCTTTGGCTAGTATACAAGCATGTTATTCGTACATTTGAAGATTTGAGGAAAAAAATACGACAAGACAGCTTTCCCGCGCAACAGAAATTCATGCACGATGCCTCCCGTCCTCGCTGCACTTCACGTAACAGTTCTATCAAGGACGGTGCACCGCCATTGAGTATGAATTTTTGTTGAACTGGTAAACTGCTTTGAAGTTTCGCCAACTCGTCTGTCGTGACTAGCCTCTTTCTGAACAAGCGTAAAGTATTTCATTTTTCTTGAGGCCGTACGATACCCTCGTTTTGTCACTGCTGCCCTCTGGCGAGCTTCTATTACGCCATCTGATTAGCCACACGATTTTTACTCAAATGCTTCATTTCACGCAACGCCATCAGGACGAATTATCAATTGAGAAAAATGGAAAACATGGCTATTAGTTCATCGCATGCTCTGCGTCGGAGCGCTAGCGATATCAAGGCAGCTCTTTAATGGGGGTTCAGTGAACTACACCCATGTCGAACATCAGTAGCCCAGAACAACGCTGCAATAAAAAGTACTTTACACGAACGCTATTTTGGGTTGTACTCGTTTAGGTCTAATTAAAGTAATCGGCGCAAATCGGCGTGTGAGTCATTTTACTCGGTGCTTCTTTATCTACATTTTGCGTGGATTGTTTACGTTCGGACAGAATAATATGCAGCGCGAATTTTAGAAAACAAGTTCGATAGATTACTCATTCAAAATGATGGAAAGATAGCCGAGTTGCTTTGAAGTTTGATCGCGAAGAGACAAGAAAGAAGACGAGAAATTCATCCAGTCCATTTCGTGGTCATTGTCACTTCTCGCACAAATTTTCAAGATTGCTAAGTACCTGGAGAGCATACAAGTGTACAGGTAGGAGAGGTCTTCGCACGACGGCGAGGTGGAAACGAGATGGCGGAAGGGGAAGAGCGCGAGCTCGAAGCAAAGTAGAAAGGGGGGGGGGGGCATCTGGGAGGGGCTCAACTGGAGTGGGGCATGAGACGAGAGACGCCGGAAGTCGGGCGGTTCCGCACGGTGGCTGCAAGCGTGCAGCTGGTCATCCTTGACCCTGGCTTCTTTCGGCGGGACCGTCGCGCCATGGTCTTTTCCTCTACTCGGCAAAGCAGTGAAAGTGGCGGAGGGGGGGGGGGGCAGAAAGAGAGAGAGATACGCGGTAGAGCGTCGCCGCGGGACAGGAAATCACTTGCGCGCCTCCAATGTCGCGGAACGGCAGACGCACCTCGGATCCCCCTCCTCAGCAAGCTCACTTCCTGCCCCGCAGTCATATTGTGAGTGTGTCCGTGAGAGCTCCCGCCAGTCAAGAGAAACGCACGCGCATATCTAACCTGCTCGTAGGAAAACGAAGACACCTGTTGGATCTGGCTATGTTGTTATGTCCATCACAGTAGAAAACAGCGCATAATCACGAAAACACGAAAGATCAAGAAATATCGGCATCTATATACGTTATATTGCGATGTTTTCCACTATAATTATGTACCTACAAGCTCACGTTCATACATTTTTAATTGTTATATCCGTACACGGTGCCATTTGGTGCTATATCATGGGAGAAGACTAACGAAGCTGAGTTTTTAGAAAAGCGAGTATTTGCGAATTTCAAGAAAAAATAGAAGGAGAAACAATTATTCCTCTGGATGGTTGAAGCGCCCCACTAAATGTTACAAGAGGGCGCCAAGTATAGCATTGCCTCATCTAATTGTTTCCAAAGCAGGCTCTCTCTTTTGTTTGGAAGACTTCACGAACTCCCATTAGAATGCGGAAGCTTGGGCTAGTTGGTATGGCATGACGATTGATAAGAGTGTTTCGCCGCTTCTCTTCGGTATTTAAGATCGTCGTTTCATATTGATAGCAACTACCCGCCACCTGCCGAATTTTCATTATTTCATTGTGCATTTATTTAACGAGGACACGCGGTCAACAGATTTTTTTAACGCGTCACAAAATGGAGATAACGTTTTGCGTGTAAAAAAGAGCCGTAGGAAAGCGAGAAGCTTTCCTGCGGCCCTTTTTGATACGCGAGGCTTTTAGCGCCATTGGACTCCTGTCTAATCCTATCGTGAACCCCGACTTTCCCGCAGGCCAACGCAGCGTAGTCTGCGGTGACTCCGAGACACCGGTGCCCGTCAGGACCAGCAACGGCAGCGTCTCGTTCGCGCACGTCACCAAAAAGGAGGAAGGAAGGTACGCCTGTTTCGTGGACAACGGCGTCGGAAAGCCGCTTAGGAAAGTGATCCGAGTGGCCGTCAACGGTAAGCAGATATCGAACACCAACCGTCTCCTCGCGAAGCCCCAAATAGGAGAAGGGGCAAAATGAAGCCTCTGATCCCAAGCCCCTTTCAGCAACGCGTGGCTCGATGAAGCCGCGCAGCGGTAAAGAGCTTGTGGTATCCTGCTTGTGTGGCAGGTGCTTGCTTGCGCCACTACGGTAGTGCGACATTGCCTTAAGCTGTTGGCACTCACTTTAACAAACACGTGAAAAGCAGTATACCAGAACATTCCCGAAAAAACAAGATTTACTCAGACACGCTTCAAGCGAATGCAGTTATTTTATGATGTTGTTTTTAGGAAACGTCGCCGTTAGTGACGCCAGCTGCCTCGCTTCGCCTGAAAACTAAAAATAAAAGCCCGGGTTTTCTAACAACAAAATACACTGAGGCAAATACAAATGTATTTGCCAGGTTCCACGCATCAAGAACTGATGGGCAGTAAATCAGCGTGCTTGCAAAATGATAGTCTGTGCGCTTTCTCGTACACTTGTGGTACAAACATGTAAATGCAAATTTTCCATTTCGCGACAGTGTTCTGGCTGTGCACAGAGCACGGCGCATTTTTTTGCCCGCGAATCGCTTTCACTCCAGAAATACATCGTGACTTGTCCTGGGAAAGTACAACATAAGCAAACGTCATTCGCAGCAGGCATCGAAGCAGAAGTGTATTAACCTATTTAACTTCATTCGCAGCAGGCACCGAAGGAGAAAGAAGTGTATATATATTAACCAATTTCACTGCGCAGGGATGTGGGTTTTGTCATTCCTAACGCGGTGCTCTAAAGCACGAGGCTATACAGCGTGATTGTCCATGTCGTGTGAAAATTTCGCCGTGCTCGTTCGTGCCTACCCAATATACTCGGTTGAAATAGCATACCGAAGTCCTAAACAGAAAGCGATTTTATGAGCACATATAGGTTCCGACAGCTTTGAACTCAACGCGTTGTTGTTGTCGTTGTTGTTGTTGTTGTTGTTGTAGTTGTTGTTGTTGTTGTTGTTGTGTCGGTGCGTCGGTGTGAACGCGCGCTCGAACGCTCGCCTTGCACACTTTTGTATCGCAATGCCGGTTAATGCAGTAGCTGCCGACGCAAAACCAACACGCTGAACCCCGAATGCCCATACACCGACCCGGGTGGCTTTGAATCAGCGGCAGGCCAATCTGGCACCTTATCCTGCCAAGTAAAATGTGCTACACGATCCCTGTGTAATGTCGCGAGTGGTTTTTCTTCGAAGAGCGTATCGCGCAGGCTTTTTTTTTTATATACATTGAGACCTGCATCGAATAAAGGTTGATACCCTAAAATGTCCAGAGTCTGTTTTCTTGCCCAAATCTAGAAGGGAAATCATTTCTTGCGTGCTTCTGGAACGAGCTTGAACACCAAGAGCTTTTTCTAGAACGAATTAAAATTCTCGCGTTACATGTGTGCTCCCGTGACCACCTTACGCGATATCTAATTTACAGTACATGCGCGATTTCAGCAGACATCACGCATATAATATATATGACCATGCTATATTATATATGACCCTTATATAATAATGACCATGCTGCTCTTAATGCTTTTGTCCCCCCCCCACCGTTATGCAATACCCTGAAAAGGGCCTTAAGCGTGAAATAAATAAATAAATGATTATGATGATGATGGTGGTGGTGGTGATTGTGACGAAATAAACGGAACATTAAGAAGAAAAAGACTCCAATGTAAGTGATGTTGATTGCTGAATTCTGTCGTTGGCCCCGAGACACCTGGTTGCTCGTGAAAAACCTTTGCGTACGCGCGCCTCGCTTAGTTTCCTACATTTTTCGCGATGGACTCCTAGCGCCACACTTCAATAGTAGGGAAAATCAAATCGCAATACTTCATAAATTTGCATGCCTGATGTATACAGATATTGAGTGCAGCTTAGGACTGATTCATTCATTCATTCATTCATTCATTCATTCATTCATTCATTCATTCATTCATTCATTCATTACGTGTACAAAAGTGATTTTAAATACTACCAAAAACGAGGTCACCTGCATTATGTAAATGACTGTCTCTTTCCACTGTGCTTGTCAACACCAAGAGAGAAGTCAGAAATCATTTTCAGCCTGGTTATGCCAATGGTTATCACATGTAGTTTTAGACCTAATTAAATCGTTACATCGTGGTTAAGAGTTAGAATGTTTAGTACATTATCTAGCAGTGCAGCCTAACTGACTTCGTTTGCGATATCGCTTAAGCTTTGGGCGTTCAATGTAACTCGGTACCTTTTCTTTTTTTAGTCTTTTCAGCTGCAGCGGAAATGTAAGGCAAAACACTGCGCATCACAACCTGTGGCCACGTGCGCATTGACTAATCGCGCGACGATTCGCCGCCGCGTGAACTTGCAGTGCCGGCCAAGTTCGCCGAGAAACACAGCGTGGTGACCGCTCGGCGGGGCGAGAACGCGCGCCTCCTGTGCGACGCCCAGGGAGACCAGCCGCTCACGGTCGCCTGGTCCAAGGGCGTCCAGAAGATCGACCGCGGGGGAAACTCGAGGTGAGGGCTCTCCTTACTCTTCTCTCTCTTCTCGCTGCTAGCACTTTACGAGTGCTTCAAATTGACTGCGCAAACAAATTTAGTAAAACGAATTCCGAAACCACAAAGGTATGGCTATGATTAGGTATCAAGACAAAGAAAAAGATGGCAAGAAGGCTTCACGTGGATAAATTAACCAAACAATCGTAAGGTCATCTGATTTATTGATTTATTTATTGATTTAGTTATTTATTTATTTATTTATTTATTTATTTATTTATTTATTTATTTATTTATTTATTTATTGATATGTGGAGTTTAACGTCCCAAAACCACCATATGACTATGAGAGACGCCGTAGTGGCGGGCTCCGGAAATTTCGACCACCTGGAGTTCTTTAACGTGTGCCCAAACCTGAGCACACGGACCCACAATATTACCGCCTCCATCGTAAATGCAGTCCCCGCAGCCGGGATTCGAACCCGCGACCTGCGGGTCAGCAGCCGAGTACCTTAGCCACCAGACCACCGTGACGGGGCGCGTAAGGTTACCTACCCTACACACACTGGTGGCAAAAAAAAAAAAATAGGTTACGGAAAGAACATGATAGGGAGCATCGCAGGGAAACATGAGAACGCACAATAGGACTACAATTGGTCAATGGGGACCGGTGTTCCTTATCAAATCTAGCAGTAGAACACCGATTGCTTTTTGTACTAATAATTTTGGACTAAGAAAGACGAATTTCCAAACTTTGCGACTAAGTTCCCAGATGTGCAGTGGCAGAGTGATACGGAATCTTTTTGATGATGTTCGTTCGGAAAACGATGAGTCGCTCACGCACGTCGAATAATACATCATGTATTTTTTTTCTCACACGTCGAACAACACGACATAATACGACTGAAAGATAACGTGCGTATGTTAAGCAATGACCGACGACAACACAGGGATAAGTTGCGTGCTTGGAGAAGCATACTGGGATATCAATAAAATCTGCGAGCACGAGATGAAACGGGAGTTACCACCTACTAGCTCGCGGGAGAATAGCGATGTTAAACGCGCAGTACGGCACTCTCACAAATTAAAATCACGGAAGACAGCACTACCGACGTCAATTATATCACTGTGATTCTAGAGATTAATTATGATCAGCGGCGGTCAGCATAACCAGGCTAGGCTTACACTTTGCTCCAACGTTACGTCAGATTCTCTTATCTTTTGTTTCTGGTCATTATGCTCGCGTGTGTGTGGCACTTTCAGTAGCAAAAAAATGCTTACAGGGCTCGCTTCGTGCATATCGGCCAGGTGTAAGGTCATCAACGTTATCCAAATAAAGTCGTTCACGGGTCGAATTAATAAAGTGCTGACTACAACTGTTTGGCTTCTGTAGCTAGACACTCACGAATGCGAGCTACAGCTGCTAGGCGAATAACCAAGCACGCGTTGCGCTTTTCTCATTAGCATTACAACACTGAAAAGATGTAAATGAAGCTGATTTCCATACAGATACAAAAGCACTTCACAGCATTTAGATCCTGCAACCCGACAGAAAGTGCTAACTCAACCTCAGTATAAACGTCAGAAGTTTCATTACCACCTTAGATATATAGATGAAACGCGCGCACGCACATAAAAAGATAGGGACAGAGAGAGAAATAGAGACAAGCATAGAGAAATAGAGACAAGCATGAAAACACCAACCCGTATTGCTTTTAGGCTTGATTTACTCATTATATAATTACAGAACCAAAATTATTATACACTGGCCAAAAATTCCCGTTTGCGTGCACTAGGCACGCCTATACGACGGCGTATACTGCTCGAACGTGAGGCTTAAATATATGTTGGAGCTGTACGAACAAAATAGTGGAGGCGCTGATAGATTGGCTTCTATGTACTTCCATTGATTCGCTAATAAAGCGGGCAGTAGGTGGGAACATGCATCAAATAGTGCCTTGGCATCCAGACAGCTTACGGAAGTTCGTGTTCCCCGATCGAACCGCGTGGAAGATGCCTGTGCCGGAAGCGTGGCGTGGGGAGAGGATTTAACTCGGTTAATCGCGTAATTAAATCACGTCGAGCGCACGGCAAGTTCGATCCACGTTTGGAACACGCGGAAGAGCTTCATGCGCAAAAAAAAATTTGCATTTTCTATCAGACTTACGCTGCAGTGAAGACGGCGCAGTGTAGAACGCTAAGACAGAGAAAATTAAGAGAAGTTACAAAAGGAAAAGAACGTCTCAGTTTGCGCCGCTAGCCATTAATTGCAACCTGCACGATCATAATTAGGTTGGAGTTCGCGTATTCCAACGATTAAAACACCGCATACTTGCAACCTCGCATGATAACAAACAGTACACATCTGCATCGGTAGAAAAAAAAAATTACTATGGTCATTCTTTTGAAGTGAGAAACAGACAGGTCGTGCAATATATACGGCGAACAAGGCGACAGGCCTTCACTTTACATACATCCCCTTGCCGTCCGGCGACCACACATTGTATGGGCATTCAAGGGCCGCCAAAAAGAGCGTAACAATTTTTTTTGCTTTTTTAAATTCTACTATTCATTTTGCATAAAAAGAGGGCACCATGTCCGGCAGTAAATGTGGGGAGTACCGTGACGCGGTACATGTATGAAACCGCGAGCCAATATAACGGAACGGAAGAGTAGGTCAGCGCCGAAACGCGAACCATCTGGTCGGCGCAAACAAATAAACGGCAACCGCGTGCGCCTCGCATCCATTATGGAAGCATCAATGTCCGCACACAAGACATACATTTGTTGTTGTGACCCAGAAACGCAACGACTTCCCATGTTTATAACGAAAGAATACCCGGAAATGGGGGCGGCCGGAAAAGAAGGTTTATACACGATGGGTTGGCTGCCATATATCTACAGCGAGAATAGTACGCAGAAACAGGATAATTATTGAACAGTTGCGTAATCGAACACTATATGTATGTACGTCATCATGCTTGTGGTACGCTGCAGCGTAAGGAAGAAAAAAAATAACCAGCAGCGCGTCACAAGCGTAAAGACGTATGTATACCAACTAAGCGCCATTGCCGCCTTATTACTTTGTACGTCATTTTACGATGTTGTAAATTATTAGCGAGAACATTCTCTTCCAACGAGCGTTAATTCTTCTTCGGAGTGTGTGGTACATGCGAGGAAATTAACCAAGAAAAAACTCTACACAAAGCAAGTATGGCAAAAAATTCTGTGAAGAAACCATTACACAAACGCACCCTTGGACTTATTTGGTGTATCCACGCGTTACGCTTCTGTACATTCACCAGGATCGCTTTCCGTAGAGGGTATTTCTGATGCGCACTCACAGCACATGGACAAGGCGAAAGTCCGTCTCTGTCTGGTCCCTGCATTTTGAATGAGCGTCATAGTTACCTTCCAAGTGTGAACAGCCCAGCAGCAAGGGTTACGGCTTTCGGCCTAGCTAAGATCCCTATTCTAATGAAGGTTTTGCTGTTCAAGTACGGGATACTTAACAGTACATACTAATTGAAGCGTTCCTTGAAATAAAAAAAGTAGCGAATGTCTTTTTGATCACTACTACATGTCAGCAGTAAGGCTTTCGGTGGGGTTCGGTGCGCACAAATTACACGCGCAAAGCCTTCCAGCGACCACTCACACGCAGATGAACATGAAGGTGGCAGTGAGCTGCGTTCTATCGAATAATAATGTTCAGCATCTCGTAGCGGCACCAGGACTACTGAATATGTAGTTATGTATGGCTCCCGGTGATATTTTATTACATTGCTTTGCGAACACTGCTTTAAGCTATGTACACTAGCATTCAAGCCCTCCGCCCTCACAGCAGCGGGTAATAGTATTATGCACGCAGCACGGAAGCTATGCACCAACACATTTCACCAAATGTTTATTTCCGTTTTACTTTAAGCCCGCGTAAGGGCGCGCGCGTCGTCATTCGCATGAGATGCTGAAATCGAAGCACGCGTGAGTATACTGGGCAACTCAATCATGAACTAAGATTGAACCATGATGTTACTGTTAACAGCAAAAAAAGAGAAGATTGTCGAACACTGTACGATACTTATCAACAATTAGCAAGAGCCAGCCTATAGCAGCGAGCATTTAGATAATATTAACCATTTAATCATTCATAATTAGGGAATACTATAGCATTATTGAAAGGGTGGTGGGTATCGTAAATGTACTGAATAAGTTATACAAGATGAAGGTAGTACAGGCTTGCGCGCCTACATCCAGCCATGATGACGCTTCAGTTGAAATCTTCTATGAAGACGTGGAATCGGCAATCAGTAAGGTAAAAACACAGTATACTATAGTGATGGGCGACTTTAATGCAAAGGTAGGGAAGAAGCAGGCTGGAGACCAGGCAGTAGGAGATTATGGCATCGGTACTAGAAACGCCAGAGGAGAGCTACTAGTAGAATTCGCAGAACGCAATAATTTACGGATTTTGAATACCTTCTACCGAAAACGAGAAAACCGCAAGTGGACATGGAGGAGCCCTAATGGCGAAAATAAGAACGAAATAGACTTTATAATGAGTGCACACCCTGGAATCGTGCAGGATGTGGAAGTGATTGGCAAGGTACGATGCAGTGACCATAGAATGGTACGGTCTCGCATTCGCCTAGACTTGAAGAAGGAACGACAGAAACTGATACACAAGAAGCCAATCAATCAGCTAGCACTGAGAGGGAAAGTACAGGAATTCAGAGTGTCGCTGCAGAACAGGTACTCGGCTCTTAGTGAGGAAACCAACCTTAGCGTAGATACAATGAATGATAATCTGACGAGTATCATTACGGAGTGTGCAGTGGAAGTTGGAGGCAGGGTAGTTAGACAGGACACTGGCAAGCTTTCCCAGGAAACGAAGAACCTAATTAAGAAGCGTCAAATCATGAAAGTGTCAAGTACAACAGACAAAATAGAACTGGCAGAGCTTTCGAAGTTGATTAATAGACGTAAGGTATGCGATATAAGAAGGTATAACATGGAGAGAATTG